AAGATCGTAGGCGCAACGGCAGCGACTGCTTTCTCAAACCGCTTGACCTGAGCAACGTGCCTGAGCAGAGCCAGGTATGTCTAATCAACTGCTTCCCCAACTAGCTTGACATCTGATCTCTGTGAAAGATCGGAGGCGCAGCCCACCTCTGACACCAGGTAAATCAGAGTTTAGCAACTCCTACGCAGTCATACTGTAGACTATCCGTCAGTACCCAGGCCAGGCAGTGCCCCTGCCTATCAGACCCGTCGCCCAGCGATTGACCAACCGCTCCACGAGGAGCTTGATGTCCCTGAGGTCAGCGCTGGGTGAAAGATCGTAGGCGATCCTCAGAAGCAGGAGGCCGACAGAAATAGCGCGACGCGTCTGCGATCAGCGCGTCGTCTCGAGGATGGGACGGTGACAAAAACATGAGCACCAGGTGAAAGATGTTGAAAGATGCTAATGAGCTGAGGACCGCGCAGAAGAGATCGGCAGCGCAGCAGGTTGCGAAAACAAAGAGTTGAACACGCATGTAGTCAATGCTGGTTGAAGCTTTGTCATGCAATGTAGTCTGTCGGCAGTGATGGTGATGCGCTGCAATGTTGATCCGCTAGATGCTGATTCTCACACAGCCACTGCTGAACACTGGAACCTCACGAAATATGCTTGTCAAACCGAGCAATGGATACACCGTACACAGTGGAAACGGACATCCCCAAATAACCCAAGTTTTTCGAAATGGAAACAGAAATCATCAGAAAACCTCAATAGTTACCCAATTAGTTACTGTAGAAATATAACAATACAAACGCGCAAGCATCCCATTATTTCGAGCCCAAACTATTTGGAAGTGGGCGTGCAAATCGCAAATAATAAAACTATTTCGAGCGATTTCGCGGAGAATCGCCACATAATCAAATTAATTGAAAGTGAAACCCATTTCGGGAATCCCCAAATATTTTGAAAATTTAGGAAACCCCGCTGCCGGAATCCTCAAATAAGCGCAACATTTGGTACTACTTATGGACGTCCCAGAACATCAATGAGAATGTCAATTAGGCAAATTGAACATAGTCTTCGAGAAAAGTTCCCAAATTGTCGCGATATTTGGGCATTCTTCTTTTTGGTGTTAGTAACTATATAAGTTGTATGCACTTGACATTATCATTTGACACCTGTGCGATCTCCAAATGGTCTTCGCATCTTCATGTCCCACTTTAAAGCTCACCCTCACCCATGTGTCTAAATCTTCGTAGAAGGTTCACGCTTTTGAAAAACACCCTGAACTGTCGTGCGCTGTCAAGGCACTTATCAACTCTACCTCACAAGACTAGGCTCACTCACAGGGCTCAAACTTTTCTGCTTTCTTGGCTTCGTCTAAAGCGTGCATCAACCAATTTTGAGAGATTTTGATGTTGTTTTGGATCTACTTTACTCCTGTCCATGAACTTTGCCGCGTGACTTTTGACTATACCCATGTTTCACCAAGACGTTTCTAAAATAAGGGAACTGTGGAGTTTTTTTGTTTCCACATGTTTTTTTCCCCAGATGGCGAAGCTATGGGGTTCTTGCTTCAAATAACACTGAGTTGCCCGCGCGCGCTTTCGAGACAGGTTGCTGGTGCTGGGTGCCGGTGGTGGTGCTGGTGCTGTGAGCTGGCTCTGCATGTGGTGGAGACAGGTTGCTGGTGCCGGTGCTGGTGCTGGGTGCCGGGTGCCGGTGTTGGTGCTGGTGCTGTGAGCTGGCTGTGCACGTGGTGGAGACAGGTTGCTGGTGCTGACAGGTTGCTGGTGCTGCTGGCTGTGAGACAGTGCCGGCGCTGGGTGCTGGCAGTGCGCGTGGTAGAGACAGCGGGCGCCGGCGCCGGCGCTGTGAGCTGGAGTGCGTGTGGTGGAGGCTGGGCGCTGGGCTGGGCGCTGGCTGTGCGTGTGGTGGAGACAGGGTGCCGGGTGCTGGGCGCCAGGTGGGTGCCGGGTGCTGGTGCTGGTGCTGGGTATACTAGTGCTGGGTGCTGGTGCTGGGCGCCGTGAGCTGGCGTGCCGGTGCTCGGTGCTGGTGCCCGCTTCTGACAGTGAAGTGATAACAACCGCCGCTTCTGACAGTGAAGGGTAACAAACCGCCGCTTGCAGCAGTGAAGGGCGACCAAGCGCCGCTTCTGACAATGAAGTGCCAGCAGTCATGGGCCGCATGAACACAAGCGACAACATCATCATACGGTGTTGTCGCTTGAGCATGCTTGAGCGTTCTTTGTCTATTAGCGCTGTGGGGTATTTACACTCTTCAGGCTCTGTTTTGGCCGACAGCTGTGTCAAGGGCTGTACTGTTTGCGCCCATACTTATTTTGTACATACAAAGTTCTATGCGCAACGTCAGGCTTTCAACCGACCATTGTTTCAGCGTGTTTGAGCATGCTACATACACAATATACACAATACTGCTTGACCTACGGGCTTTGCCGTTTGTGCGCATACTTTTGTGTGCGTAAACTTATACGCGCAAGATCATACGGCCGTATCGTTTTGCAGGTCGTTGCTTCAAGCATGCTACAAGGTCAATAGTGGCGGTGGTACTGCTTGGCCTTGGGCCAATGACTCTTACGGGCTTTGCTGATTGCGCGCATACTTTTGCGCGCATAAACTTATACGCGCAAGATCATACGTTGTTATTCCCCAAATAGGGATAGCTGTGGGGTTCTTGCTGCAAATAAGAATGAGCTGGCTGCGCACGCTTTTGAGGCGCTGGTGTTGTGGTCCTGGGTGCTGGTGCTGTGAGCTGGTTGAGCGCGCGTTTAAGACGGGCGGCGGCGCTGGTCGTGCTGGCGCCGCCGCTGGTGTTGTCAGCTGGCAAAGCGCAGCGGTGCTGAAGTCAGGTGGCAAAGCGCACCGGTGCTGGTGTCAGCGCGCAAAAAAATCATGGAGGTGCCGTAAGCTGGCTGTGCAGGCTGCGTTCATTTTTGTTCCAGCCAGTTGTCAACAGGTCGTGGGATTCTGCCTGGCTATCTGGGTCTATGCTGGTGTAATTTGAGGTAAGTAGTACTGATAGAACTTTGGCAACTTTGTCATTTGTCATGAATGCCTTTGTGGAAATCTATCACTGTTGTTTGTATTGTTTGTTGTGACGGCTTCCGCGCTCGCGGAATGATTGTTCACGCAGGAAAATATGGTCAAAACCAGTTGGTTTTCAAGCTTGCGTGCGTTTTGTCCGCAGTGTTCAATTCTTCCCGCAACTTGGGTGCTGTGCCCAGACCTCTGCAAATTTGCAGACGCCATCCAACAACATTATCTTTGAAGTGGGCGTGGGCCGTCGAATCAAAACAACTGGCTGCGATGACGACTTTTGATTTGCTTTGAGCGGTGGGCTGCCAGCGCCCCCAAAAACGGAGCCCCAACCAATTGAAGGTCGCCGCGTTGTCATTCTCACTTAATTTGACTTTATTTAGGTGGCCTGAGCACCACACCTTCAAACACAGAACGGGTGCTGCAGGCCAACCCCAGGATGGGAAAGTGCACTGGCCAAGTACATTGGGGCATCGCATTCGAGGCATTGAAACCAAAGTGCAAAACTATAAAGAAGGTTGTCAGTTGCCTTACTGTACCCTAGAGGGGTCTAGAAAAATTTGTGCTAGATCACAGCAGTCAGTTGAAGGCAAGTTTAGGAGTTCATTGCAGTGCTACTTGTTGTATCATACGGTGGCTTGAAGAGCAGTTGTCATTGACGGCTACACGGCAAACAGATGCAAGCAGAAAGTTGTCAGTTTTTTATCCTTTGTGTTTTTCATGTCAAGGTACCAGGAAATCACGAACATTATAATATTGTAGCACATTTCTGTGCAAAATTGAGGTTGGCTAAGCACTCCAATGATCTGCCACTTCAATGATCTGGAACCTATATCAAACCTGATGACAATGATCCAATTCTTAGATGCGCGTTCCCAACCAACACACGCATACCAAAACTCTCTGGACCGGAGCACTGCTGGGCTCATGAATTCTTTCAGTGTGGGTTTTGCCTCTATATTTGTGAGCGCGTGCCAAATCCAATGTTGTAGTTGAGTAGATGAGTAGATCTGCCTGCTCGTGTTCATGTCCAACAAGAGTTATGAGGGCAAGAATTGCACTCACACCCATAAGAAAACGCGACATGTATTGGACAAGAGACATGCTGAGACGCACCTGCGCACCCACCACCAGAAACGCACTGAAGGAGAAACACCGCATTCAAAGGAAACAACGTACTCAAGCGAAGAAATGCATGTGCCCCAAAATGTGCGTGAACCCAACGCGTCTGGACGACTCAGCAAAAAACAAATTTGTGTGGTTGTTGGAAGAGAATTTAGAATGGGGGAATGCACGATTTGGAACAAAAATGTTCAGAGAGCGATCATTCTCTTGCGGGTTAATTGTGTCACGGTTTTCCAAGGAGAAACTTGAAATCAGAACGGGATGTGTGGAACATTTTGGGACAGGAAATGTATGTGCGGCTTACGCATGTTAGCAGAAACGCGCTCACGATCGCTCACGGTAAGAAGCGTGGTTACTTCTCCGGATGCTGGTCCCCTCCACTGCCAGAACGCGACGCAAAGGTAGCCCCTCCGTTCGACATTTTGCCAGGCTTTGCCATGTTTTTGCTTGCTTGCCATGTTTTTTGAAGCCCTTGCTGCCTACAAAGCAGGCAGAATGGTCGATTTCGCCGGGCGTTGAAGCTCCGACTGCGCCTTTTGAGTGCGCGCACTCGTCACGCTCCGCGCCTCGCCGCGTGGGCGCCGCCGCAACCATGGGACGGACGTGCTCGGAGCCAGTGTGCTAGGTCTGGCCTCACAACACGTGAGGAGTAGAGTAGGCCCCTAGGGATCCGTAGGGTCCTGGGACGTTGTGCCCCGTGAGTTGCCCAATGGAGGTTGGTAAGAACGCAGGCTGTTTTAGAGTGCATGTTTTCTTAGTGGTTTCAGGGTGGAACAAACAACGGCACGCAAATGCAAGGTCCTTGCTGCAAGGTGACCTTTGAAATTGAACACCGTCATGATCAATTGTGAGCGTATGTGTTGCAGCAGCCGTAGCATTTTGGCACGATGTGGTAACCATGATGTTTCGAAAATGCAACCCGATGCGTCCAGTTGGACCGACTTCTTGGACTGGTCGGGATCCAAAACTTTGGGTTGACAGTTGACAGTGCATTTGGGGGATGCGGCTCCAGGTGCGAGGCCCAGGGCATAGAAGCAGGCTTGAGAGAGACACTGTTGTTTTCTTTGGGGAGGGTGTTGTGTGCCAAGCGCTGTTGTTCTTGGTGGGTATGTGTTTATGTAATGAACCCACATTTCTTGCAAATCCTTTTAGCATTTATTTGTGAGCGCTAGATCTTGTTTCCATTGTCCAGATTTTCCTGTCAGTGTTGTTGCTAAGAAGATGATGCGTAGGATTGGATTGGGCGTAGAGCCATTGCTCAAAGCTCTGACCTGGGATTGTTCTGGTTGCAGCCACTGTTATGTGCAATGGCTTGGGGCCCTTCGGGGCACATGGACGATGGGATTTTGGTTGCTGTCCACTTTGGCTTGCTGGAAAGTGGCAGTGCGCAGGTAGCCTGCAAGTGTGCAAAGAAGATGGACGCGGCCGGTTTCTTCAGGCGTAGCTGGCAGGGTGCCTTTCCCATTCCAAGATTTTCAAAGTGGGAATCTTTGCCTCAGGCTTCCGCCAAGGTGGAGGCTGACCAACTTATCATGGTAGTGCCAGCGCATGCCATACTTGCAGAAGGGATGGGAACGGCGACCTACCAGGCCCGGCAGCAGTGAGAACCAAACAGTCACAGAAAGAGTGCCATTGTGCAGGCTTCTCACTGGATGCTTGGGATAGCCCACCGCTTGCTGGAGGAGGCCTTCGTGGGTTGAAACACTTGTGATCGGAAGGCCGCATCAATGAAGAGCATGAGAGGACTGTCTTGAAAATTCAGCTTTTGCGCGGCATCCTGAGTGAGTGAATACAAGTACAGTAATTATTAGTATTGACATGTATTGACAATTGGTTGTGGTATTGGCTGCCCAGAGCACATGAGCACATTTGCCAAGGCCATATGTACGGCTACTAATGGAAGGTGTGCGTTGCAATTCTTGGACCCAGCCTTGCAGTTCTTTTTTCGGGGTTTCCCTAGGTGAACCTCATGAATTCGACGCAATGGCTGCCCTTCCGGGATGTGTAGGGCCGTAACCTGATACAGCGTTGCTCATGACCACTTGCTTGGTGTTTTTTGTGACTCTGTTTGTTATGAGGTCCTTGGCCAGAGAACGAAAAAAACTTCGCTGCGCACACGTGTCTGAACTGGTCCGTGCCATGCCTGGTTGCGATCCTGAGCGCCCCGCACTCAGACTGATTCACCATGATTCATGCAGGAGAGTTATATTTCTAATGAATTCAATCGATTTGGCTGCCGTGAGCTGTCTGTGACAATCGCAGAAGCAAGGTGCAGCTCGAGCCCTGCACACGGTCGACACACGTACTGTGGCTTGGCTTTCGGTGTTGTGGAGACTCATGAGTTGGCAGGCCGTGGGTGCAACATTCTCCTTGCTTGTGCTGTTCAAACTTGCATGGCCGTTTTGACGAGCATACTTTAACGATCTTTAACGTATGTATCAAGAACTAATGAAGAAATTCCAAATTCCTTTGCACGAAGGAAACAATGAGAATGTCAATGTTGATATGAATGCCGCATTCTCTTGATATTAGACGAATAGAAACGGACGCAGTGTTTGCAAAATGAGAATCCGCATCAAACGTTTGGATTTCAATTAGGGTCGAGGTCGAGGCCTGCAAGCCGATTCCCCTCCGTTTCGGAAGCCTCAACTCCTCACAGCACCAAAGACTCTACAAGATCCAGCATTCAGAGCCTTCCGGGCAAATTTGGCTCGTACACCCACTGGACACGCGTGGCATGCACTCACGCAAAGCCAACCCTACTGGACGTGTTAGATACACAGCGGAGAGAGGATCCTCAATGTAGAGAAGCAAGACTGCAAGACAGCACCATGCGGAACAGGACCGCTCGTGTAGATGAATGAGACTTGCATATGAAGGTGTATTCTCATCCCGCACGAGTACGAGCACTTGTCAGGTGCTTGGAGTTCAAGTGGTTGGAATTCAAGGAGGGGTTGGCTTTCGGCGGATGATGAAGCTCAAGAAGTGCGCTTTGTCTGACATACTCAGGTTCCCCTTTTTGATTTTGCAAACCACAGTGCGAACCCGAATGCTCGGTGGATCATGGGCCCAGATCGAGCGTTGAGGCTGGAGTCTGGAGTTTCGGTGCACTGAAACCTTCGGAGGAACAAACTAGTAGCAACTAGCTACTAGTGTCTTCTTGTTCCTGGTAGTAAGGCCAAGAGCTACTAGTAGCGTCCTTGCTCCTCGTAGCGATGCCAGGAGCCCCTAGTAGCTTCTTGTTGCTAGTAAAGAATTTGATCATGCCAGGTTATATGCCACAAAGCCTGTTGACATTGGATGTGAGGCACGAATATCCATCACGCTACTGTGCCGAAAGATGCCGCCAACTTGGCAGGTGACCATCTCTTATGACAACATCTCGAATGGGCAGGGTGCTTAGAGAACATCACTGGCATTTGCAGATTCGTATCTATGAGGCGTTTGTTGGTGACTTACGGTTTCGTTCTGGAAGGCGATGGCCCTCACAGGTGGAAGTAGTCATGCCAAATACTGTAACTTGTGTTTGTGATATGGCCCACACCTGGTCCATTTTTGTTTGACAGTCTTGCAGGTGTGTAGACCTGAATGTTGGACCACTGCCCGAACAGGAGGGACCGCAGACAAGTCTCGCATCAAAGAACTGCTACGGATGCTTCGCACGTTTGAGGAGACACCCCTGCTGCAGACGTGCGCAGTACAGCTGCAAGTGCAACCCCCATCTCAGATTTTGATGAGAAAGCTAGATGCCCAACAGTGAATCCGATGCCATACAGTACCCAGGTTCTAGGGGGTGGCTGCTTGCGAAGACGTGCCGCAAACTTAGAAAAGGCTGACCTCATTGGGCCTTGGAAGATCTTGGAAGTGTATGACGCGCAGTGGCATTGAGGCAGCTTTGTTGCCAGTCCTCAACATGATTCGTGGGCATCAAGAGGGGGAAGTCTTGCTTGCAATGCATTTGCTTCAACAGGCACCCGTGATCACCCGCGCCAAGTCTTATGCCCATCATCGGCGTGTCCTGCGGAGGTGCAGGATGAGCTGCTCGAGTGGGAAGCTGCAGCTGCAGGGCCTTTCCAAGATGGCCGTTTCCAGGTCCTGTCCACGATGACAGTCCAGGTGTGCGTCGTAGAAAGACTTTGCGTTTCACTCAGCCCTCCCGAACATGTCCAGGTGCTCGGGAGCTTTCGGGACAAGCTCAAGGCTTGGCTGAAGGAGTGTCGACTCTTCTTGCCGGTTCAAAGTTGAAGTCAGACAGCTGCAAAATGGGCAGGATCCAGAGAAGGTGCCACTGATGAGTGCTTTGGGGCCAACTACTGAGGCATTGATCAGGGCATCACTGTCGGTACGCATCAACCTCCGCCATGGTTTTCCTTCATCGATCAAAGTGGGAGGCCCTTGGCCTTCATAGCGACAGCGATTCTTCTGAGGCTCAGGTTCTTGAGAAAAGCTTGCCATTTTTGAAGTTCTTTCCCTTGCCAGGTGACGGACTAATTGCCGAGCGAGCTGACCCACTGCGGCCGCAGGGTTTCCGGAAGGTACTTCATCTCCTCAAGCTGACGAGAACTTGCCACATGTCCCAGAGTGGACACTGTCCTGCGAACACAGCAGGACACCAGCGGATTGGGTTCGCCACCTCGGAGGGGACGAGACAATGTCCCAACATCGAGCGGGCAAGTGAAACGAAGATAAAAAGACAGCAAAAGCGATGCAAACACACGACAGTGCTTGGATCAGCTGCAAATACATGGTCGGGAGTCGGGCTGGCCATATATCAGCTTGGCTGACAATTTCTTGGCTCAAGGGACATCGTGTAAATAATACAGCAGCTTTTTTTTGAGCCTTCCTGAGCCCACAGGGCCTCTTGGCAGAACCATTTTGTTGTGGACACTTGAGTGCAATTAAAGCATATTAAACAGACATATCTACTGTATATATATATATATAATTGTCAACAAATGTTTATATTTGTGTTTGTTTGTCTATATTTATATGAGAAGACGGCTTGCTGCCTGCACCAAGGCACAAGGGCCCTTGAAGGAGTTGGGGCTATGGGAAGTTGCTGCAGCTGCTGCAGATCTTCAAAAGAGGAGGACAAAGCAAAGCGAAGCGAAGCAAGTCCCAGCCATTGCTTTTTCTTGCCTTCATCTACTGTAGATTTTTCAGGCTTTCTTCATGTTTCGGGGGTTAGGAGCAAGACCGAAAGTTCAAGAAAGGTGCGCTCCTTTTCTGACGTCCACCATCTACAAACTCATTTTGCTGTGTCTGATGTTCCATCAACACCCAGCCACAGATCTGTCGCGCCACTTGATAATTATCCACTAAGAATTGCGGTGAGCAGTGCCGGCATATGCCGCAGGTGGCGACAATGACCTTTCGAACGGTCCAATCACAAAGCGATCATGCACAGACTGGTGGTGCTTGATAGTCTTATTGGCAGCATGGGTGGCCTACATTGTGGTGACAGTGGCAGGACTCCCTTGGTTGATGCCACAACCAAGCTGCTAACTACCCCTGGAGTCTCAGTGAATGGAAGTCACTGCCTTTAGAAAGAGACGCATTGCCTTGTTTCTGATCGTAAGGGGTGGTTAAATCATGTTAAGTAAGGCAAGAATGGAAGTGTTCCTACGTGTGAAGGACTTCAAGATGGAGCGCCTGCCAAGCTCTACCTGCCGCGAGACTATAGTGGGGCCTATTGCAACTTTGAAGACAACTGGAATGGAGGGCCAAATCTCGCGGGTCAAAACCTCAGGAATTTAATGACAATGATGCAATTCGTCACACAAGGTTTACAGTACATAGCTTGTTGCTCTGATCTCGTTTTCTTTTGCTCTCGGGCGCAAGGCTTTGAGTACCTCAGCTACACCATGTTCCTTGGCTGCAGACAGTACAGAATCAGTGGTGCTTTATTGTTACAATATTGAGTGCACAGCAAGGTCCCAACTCAGCGCAGGAAGTTTATTTTCCAAATCATTTGTACCTAAGGAATGCAACTGCAACCACGGACGTGATTGTAAAGCAACTACTTTGCTCTAGTGCGGTGAGTGACTTCTTTCAAACTTTCTATGCCAGCAACCCCGCAACCTACCAAGAATACCTTTGCGACGCTTGGCTGCACTGCGCAGGACAAGGAAGCAGAAGCATCAGTTGTAGCTCACCTGCCTGGGCTCTAGCAAAAGCCACCTGGTTGAGGCATGCTGCCTATCACCTTGCGCAAAGTGTGAAGGACATACACATTTGACACACTCGTTTGATTCTTCTTGCATCTTTGGTTTGTTGTCGACATTCTACACATCTACTGGACGCAGGAAGCTTCGATGTTGGCGGTGACTTGACTTCGGGGAATCTGGAAAGCACCATGACCAACAAGCTGGCCCCGCGGTTGCAGATCATGGTGGTTCGGATGGGCATGCCAATTCAGCTGTGCACACAGAAGCACGCGCACACAGATTGAACAGGCCTGAACAGATCACCTTGTAAGAAGAACCAGCCCCTATGAAGAGATTTTTGCACCCTGAAGTTGGCAAGAGGCTTAAGTCTACTGTAATCCTCTGAGGCACAACGACCATCCCCAAACGCGATACAACTTGCCAGGGCCGATCAAAGAAGAGACACGAATGCTATTCGTGCTGGCGAGAGTGGCACGTACACACATACAAGCACAGACAGAGTGCTTTCTTGTGGCCTTTTGTGATTGCCGCTTGGCCAAGGGTGAACTGAAAGGAGCGGCTAACCCCTCCGGGCTTTTCACTGGCGGGGGTGCCAATGGTGATGTCTTCTCCAACATGTGGCAGCTTGGCTTGGCAACTGGCAGGGCAAGGTAGGCTGCAGATTGGGCCACCAATGTTTCCTGCGAAAGGGGCACAGCCTCAGCCGAGAGGTCATAATCGTCAATCTTCTGAAAGAAGGTTTGACAGGGCATCATTTTTTCGTTCAAGGAGCGAAGCTACCAAGTACTTCAACTTGGTGTGCCTACCCTCCTGCAACGTCAACTTCGATTCCGTGAACAGCAGCACGGATTCTGCCATTCGAGTCTTGGGAGGCAAACATCGTCACTTGTTTGTCTTGGTAGATCGTTGACCCCACTTGCAGACAAAACGCTTGCACAAGCTGGCCGATCATCAAAGGAGAATGGACGTATACCATGTCTGATGACAGTGATATGAAGCCTTTCTGGGAAGATTTGAAGAGTTCCGGGCTCCATCCTCAAGTGATGAGTTGAAGATTCTGCTCTGCTTGCGAGTTCGTTTCTGCATTGTGGCGGTGGGCCCAGGCCAACCTATATTCGGGACACCATCACCAGTCAATTCAAATTCAAGGCATACAGTAATCGTTCAGTGAAGGGACCGTCTGCCATGCGTGGTAGTGAACTAGGGGCAGGCTCTTTCGCATTTGGATTTGAACATGATTGAACTTGCTCTGAAGTTGCTGTTGTCTAAGGCGCTTCCTTTGTCTATGTGCCCCTACAATGAATCCAAGTGCATACCATTTCCTGGTGTTGAGCCACACAGCTGCAACAACGTTTTGGTTGTCCGCTGCAACAACGTTCGAGCGCATGGCCAGTTAGAGCACTGTCACCATGTCACCTTTCAGACACTCCGAAGGTTTTCTGAGCTGTACTATGGCTACTGCAGCTTTTCCATGAGTCCTGCCCCTAGCTAGTGACAGCAACCGAGCTGAATACTATATAAATTGTTTAAACCACCCGTGGCACCCTGCACCAAGAGTAGGGAGCCAGAAGTCCATTTGCAACGAGCTGGGCCTACACTGCAGGAATAGTGATCGACCAGTGCAAGTGTGTGAATGTTCAACAAGGTAGAGCGGGCGGAGACGGGTTTGTCAGGTGCTGACGTGGTGAATGCCATGGGTACTGAAGCCACAAAAGTCCTGGAGAGCACTGGCCTGGCATCCTTCCAAGATAGCTCCACGGAGCGGGGCTTGGGAGTGTCCACTTGGGAGCCTTTGAGAGATGATAAGAACAGCACATATGAGCAATTCATATGCTTCGAATAAGCCTTTCATTCATAGCCACTTCCGAACTTCTCAAAAGGTTTGTTCTTTTGCATTGGACTTGAGACATCGACTTTGGGCAGGAGACTTTGGGGAAGTGGATGGGTGATTTCGAGAAATCTTTGCCTGCATACATTCTTGCCACTTGGCTTCCATATATTCAAGCAGCGGTAGTAGCGGTCTTTAGGTACCACTTTCATTCAAGCCAGCATTGAGCCATACAAGCAGTCATTTCAAATACAGTGTATTTTCCAAATTCGATCTAGCACCTGTGAGGTTGCCTTTCTGAGCTTTCTCGTTGGCTTCATTTTCATGGTGCTCCTTCGCTTTCTGATCGGGCCCTGCGTGTGGCACCTCGAGCGGCACACAGTTGAGCTGGTTTGGAGTTAAGATGTTGTCCGCAACTAGACTTGCAATGTTTATGTGCCAAAGCCTAATCCCAATCTCCAGGTTTGCAGTGTTTCTGGTGCTCCTCATGCTGGCAGTTGGCGGTGCTCTATGTTGGGTGCGCAGCAAGCAGTGTGCAGGCGGAACATTTTGCACGATCGCTGTCTCCATTTGAGTCCGTTTTTGAGTCCTTTGTTTGACAGGTGCTGGCTTGTTTGAAACCGGCCAGCAGGTTGCTGTTGCAGTTACGGCCCCTTGGATCACAATGGTGCTTTAATTTTTTTAGTTATTAGAATTGACCTGGAACTGGCACTGCCAAATGGGCAGGTGACAGCCACAACTGCCGCTAGCCAAGCCATCTCTGGACAGTCAGTGAGTGAAGAGATGACGGGAGAGCCCGGGTTGCAATTCATGTTGATGGTCCAATCTTTATCCCGTCTCTCAATTGAATCTTTGGATGCTAGGCCTCTGAAGCCAAGGATGGGGCGGACTATCGAGGTGTGCAGGGCCGAACAAAGAACGGGCTTCTGTGCGAAAAGTGGGGAGAAGGTCATGTCCTCGGAACTGTGCGTCAAGTGATCCGACAGTAACATGCGTTAGCAGCTAGCAGCAGCTGTAAGCATATGCGCACACATAATTCTATGTGTGCATATGTATATTGTATAGTTAATACGTATATATAAATTTGTACGCACATGCACGGACCGCATATATGTTTATTTGAATTCGCACTCTCTGGCATGGCATGGCTGTTGTCTGCTCAGTGTTGATAAGGCAATGCCGCTGCCTACACCACAGCTGCATACCCCAACTCAGGCTGAAGCCTTAGGTTGCTTATGCAGAGTGACTTTGCCCTGGTGTGACTGGTTCAACTAGCTCGGTGATCAGGCCTGGACAACAATTTCTGTCGCAATCCTTACAATCCCAGCGATGTGAACAAAGCAGCGACCATTTGGTGTTTCACCACTGATACGAGCATCAAGTGGCAAACTTGCACGCCGGTGGGAATCATTACTCCAGCCACTTGGCAGTGAGGTAGTAGTGAGGTGTTTTTTCTGACATTTGGAAGCTTCAAAGTAGCAAGCACCTCCGAGGAATGTACAGATGGCTATGCCATCACAAACAATGAAGTGAGAGTGGTTTTGGAAATATGCGGATATATTCTTTGGGTTCTGGCCGGAATCTATGTAATCCTTGTATGCTGCCTCTTAGACAGGACTGGGCCGGGTTCGATTCGTTGTTCATGCATGGAAGAACCTGCTTTCTCGTCCCTGCAGGATTCGCCTAGCTATCGCAGTCAACAAGGTTGCGGCAATCTTTGTCAAAGACACGCCAAGGTGAAACGGCTACAGTTGTGCGGTTTTCGTTAGCCAGCGGTTTTTGCAAGAAAGCTTGCTACACTATTATATAGTGCAGCTCTCCCTTTAGGATCCTTTTGGTGCCTGCCATCCAAGCACTCGTCGGAATCCTTTGGATATTGGTGTGGGCGCTTTCTGCAAGCTTCTTGCTTTCTCAAGTTCCTGATGGATACACTCCGAAGGCATGGAATTGTAGAGAGCTCAAGGAAAACACAGTAGATCCAGTGGCCTGAGTCGATAGAGACATGGTAGCCTATGTGGACAAGTCATGATGGCCTAATCTGTGCAGGGTGCCTACCACACCTACGACGAGGCTGCTGGAACTGCCACTCAGCTTCCTGTACTTCCCTCTGGCTCTGTCCTTTGGTATTTGGGGGCGCTGCCTCAGCGTTTGTTGCATTTCTAATGTCCCCATCAAGACGACGTTATGTCCGGGTATGTGCAAGGTGATAAAGAGGGGAACATGTAGGAAGGCTCAAAAGTTCATCTATGCGTGATTGACACAAGCAAGAGGAATTTCAAGTGGACATAGGTCCAGGAAGAACGAGGAGAGGCAAACGCCCAGAATTTGGGTTCAAGTGGAAGACCGTAGGGATGACAGTGGAGACTTGGATTTTTGAAGTAGCAGTGCTATTCAGGAGCTTGAGCAGAGGTGGAGCAAATTGTGGAAAGGTCAATCTCCTTAGTGGTTGTGAGGAACGGCTAATGAGTGCTTCGGTCAACATGTAAATATGGACCAACCTGCCCCAACTCTATTTTTTTTGGTCTATGTCATGGCAGCTTAGTTCTCCGGACAATGTCGTGAGAGGTGTACATCCCTCCGCACTGGTGGTGACCAAAGCGCCCTTGCTCAGGCAACGACACCTGGCGCATGCACCGACAAATGGCCGACCGGAAGCGTGTACAAGTCTGAGAGCTGCTCCTTGGATGCCTGCCAGAAATCTCTCATCCGAACCACTCAGAGGTCCCCCCCAAAAAGTACATAAGTTTGACAAGTTCCAAGTCAATTCTAAAGGAATCTTACTTTTCTATCCAATTTGGGGGAATTGGTGTTTAGTTGACAGGTGAGCTTGTCAATGGCACCTACGCATGTTGGAGATGCTCGCCTCCGCGTTATGTCTTTGATTGGCGATTTGCAGCTTCTCGCCTGCACAGTCACAGTTGAAGGATGTCAAGGTTCATGTCACTGTGACTCAGGTCTCTTTCTTCGTGTTCTTGTGGAACAATGCTACCACCTTAGAGCGGGCTTGGATAATTACGTTGGTGTCAAGGCACATTGAACTTTGGAACTGTTTCCGTCGCCAGCCAGAGCTGCTGAGGCCCTGAACATTGCGATTGGACAATGCTTGATTGCTGGAGCCGTGGGGGTATGGTTCTTTACCAGCAATTCTCAGAAAGGAACACGGCGAGTGGCCCGGCTACAGGTGACAGATCCAACAGCCAACATTGTTGGATAGACTTTTCTGCCTTGCATTTTTAGGATTGCATTTTTGTTCCTCCCTTTGTGCCGGAAAGGAAAGTGCCAAAGAAGTTAAGGATTGCATTTACCAACTGCACCGTTTTGATTTCATGTCTGGATTGAGTTGCGCTGTGGACCGAGGTGATTGCGCAATCCACTTGGCACCTCGGCTTAGTCGAACGCGGAGTAGTAGCTGTGGATGTCTTGGCACTCCAACGTACCGCAACTGTCTCCAGGAATGTCTTTCGCTACCATTTGGGGTCTTTGGCATTTGGTTCCTTTATCATTGCGGTGATTCAGTTCATCAGGGCTCTCATGAAGTACTATGAGCTGCTTTGTTGCACAGTTAATCATTTTGCACATCCAGCATTCTCTGGCTCCATTTGTGCCGGGATCGCCGTTTGAGGAAGCAAGCCAAAGCAGTAAAGAACCGGGTGCTTGTTCTTGTCCTGAAAATTTGTGGCTGCATCATCTGGTGCTTTGAAAAGTGCGTTGGCTGCCCAGACCTTCCTGTAAGAAGCAAAATGGCCGTTTGTCACAAGGCACTCGACTCATTTCTATTTCGCATTTCACGCTCTTAGGTCAAGTTCCTGAACAAGACTCTTGTCCTTGCCTGACTAAGAAATTAAACACAGCAAAGCTTTTGGCTCACATTTGTGGCACGCTCGAGCAGTGCAAGCAGGGTTGAGGGTCATTCTGCCAAGGAATGCTTACATCCAGATTGCTTTGATGGGAACCAACTTTTGCACATCCGCTAAGAAAGCATTCTTTTTGATCTTGCGAAACATGTTCCGGTTTGGAACTGTTGCGATCCTTGGAGCAGCTTGGCCGGAGCTGTGTGCTTCCTCGTCCTTTGATGCATTTGCTCCTTGAGTTTTGGGGCGTAGTGAGCTTGAAGTGTATATATATATATGTATAAATGGTTGTGCTCCCAGCTCGGAAAAGCGCAGCTTTGTAATTGTGGAAGTGCTTCTAATCATCTTCTATTTTGCCTTGAGGCCATGATCAATGTTATCGGATTTCTTTTCATCATCGCTGTGAGTGTTGCACTGGGCTATGTCATCCTGACCGGGATTTACCCTGAAGTTGCACCTGCTGTAAGCCTGGTCATCTACGGCGTCACCGCTTACGTGGTTCATGGCTCAGTTTCGCTTATTTGAGATGAAGTTGTCGCGATCGTTGCACCATTGCTGTCCCAAGGTTGCGAAGCTTTTCATGATACTTGTCCCGGCACATGGAAGGATGTGGAAGGCTATCAAAGCATTTCAACACCAAAGTAAGGTGACTGATGCATCCCCTTTGCGACATGTTTTCCGAGGAACGTCTTTGGCCTTGCAGTTGACACCACTTTGCAGTGCTTCCTCGCTTGTGAGGCAGGTCACATGTCGTGTCCAGGAGCACCACCGCCGTGTTTGCATCCTGAGGAAATGGACCTTCAGGGTGACTTTGTACCCTCTTCCATGGGCAGATGGCTTCTTGTTTGCGACTTCCCATGGTTGGTCTTCTTCTTCTTCTTCTTGTCTGTCCAAGTTCTGCTTGCTGAGAAAGGTGCTCGTCACCATACCAAGGTTGGACAAGTCCAAGCCGATAGGTGGTGATGAGGATGACGACTGAGCTCAACCGCTTTCTCAACTGCTTCCTCCTTTTGAGAAGGAGAAGGTTGTTCGAGTAAGCGCTTTTGTGATGTACATGCATGCTGGGGTTGCCCCCTGGTATTTCAAGTTGAGCGGGGTGTCCAAGTGCACTGGAACATTAAAGGCATATACTGCACATAGCATACACACATATTCATGTATTCTTCAGGTGTTGGAGTTGATTTCATGAATTGGCCCATTATGTACTTGGACCCCTGTTTGCGGACCAGTCAGAAATGCAAAGCAGATGATCTGACGACAGGTTGTTTCAGCACAGTCTTACAGACTCTTTCGTTTTTACTGGAGCATGACTCAACGCGGAGTCGCACAACGACCTCACCTTGCGCTCCAACAGCAGAGTTCTCTTGTGAGCGGGAGGGGTGAGGGTCTTTTCACTTGCGATTTGTGCTGGGCATTAACAGCGGCATAACTCACTAGCACGAGCACATCTGAAGGACACAGCAGTTTCCATCCACTTGCAGACAGTCACTCAGCTGCAAACATTGGCTAAGCTACCAATTGCACTTGTGTAGAGGCCTCACTCAGCAGGAGCGGGCCATGTTTCATTGGCAGCCCGAAAAGGGATTGTCGATATTTGGACTGAAGATGAGCCCAATATCGATAAAACGAGAGGCTGTTGAGAATCGACCGAAATGCTCCTGCTGTGACGAGTTTGCAGTCAAAGAAACACTGTGCAACAATGTTCCGAGGAAGGCTCAAATTGCAGCACAATTTTCCATCCTTTGATTTGTTTATGACATCTCCCCGTTGTGGGAGCTCCGTTTGCCACGGTCCCACACCAAGCTTTTTAAAGCCGAGAGCGTCCTTGAATTTGGCCGATCGCCCGTCGAGATGTTTGCCCAAGGCCTTTTGTTGCTGCTCTGTAGATCGGGTCGGTTCCTCAGTTTTCATTCTAAAAGCTGCTAATAGCTTCTTGTTACTACTAGTAAGGCACGTTACTAGAAGCGATGCACTTGTTGCCAATAGCTTCTTGTAAGCTACAATTTCTATTTCACTCAAACCATCTCAAACCCATGGGCTTCTTTCCACATCTTCAGCAGGCTCAGCCCGACACACTGCCCAACCCACAGGAAGTGATGCTGTCGACTTGTGCAAAATTCTGGGCTACTGTAACTTTGGGCAGGACAACGCTGAAAAGAAAAGTGGGAAAGCGCAGCTTGGCATATGGCAAATTGGATAAGTTGGGTAGGCTTGGATAGGTCTTCCTGGATACGTCCGAATTCCTGGCACTCAAGGAAAAAGAAGAAAGGAAAAGACGGGAAAGAGGACAAGGCCGACAAAGGAAAGCGGACTGTTGGCTGGAAACAGGCGGCGGGCCCACGCAAGAGCTTCTCACATCTTGTTCATCCTGATCAGATGAGTTGACAGCTACTAGTAACAAGTGCATCGCTACTAGTTACTAGTAGCAAGAAGCTACTAGTAACAAGGACGTCCAAATAGGGTTGAGATTGGGCAGGATGATGAGAGCGATGCAAAGGAGGAGAAAAGCGGACCTGCTGAAGTGAAGAACGGGAAAGAGACAGGGAAGACGGAGAAGAGAACGGAGAAGACAGATGAGGCGACAGAGAAGAGAACGGCGTCAAAGAAAACATCGGATGGCAAGCCTGGCAAAGCCAAGCCCAATGCCGAGAATACCAGCTCAGAGAGAGCTGAACAAGAAGAAGTAGATAAGAAAGATGTAGACGGCAAAAAAACCGAGTGATGAGTTCGTTGGTCACGGTCTCAGGTTTTGTCAAAGTGCCAACACATGCCCCGGGGGTTTGCTTTTGCTTTGCATCAGAACTGGCCACTGCTGTAGGCAAGTTCCATTCCGCGCTACGTTTGGCCCTTGGGCATGCCATGTGCCATTCTGCATTGGGGTGTGCGTTGGCAGACAGCCAAGGCTGGGGCAAGTCCAGGAATGAGGCCCTGCCACATTGACATGCCACGTCGAGTCGGCCATGAACTATTGTCCGCACGTCCCAGCCCTTCCTTGTTCTAGGGCAGTGCGCACTTATTCCTTAATTACGAGCTGTTACTGTTACATGCTCTTATGCAATTACCTTTCGGGCAGGTGCAAGCATTGGTGAAGGATGCGGACGTGACTGAAGCTCAGCTTTGCAAGGAGTTTGCCAGGGACTCCTATTCATTCATGAGGTCCAAAGGTGCTGCGGCCAGTCCGGCTCACAGACTTGCATGTTTTGTTGGTAGAGGTCAACTCAGCACGTATCAGCATATGCCGCATGAGGGGCGCCAGATCCAAAGACCGGCAACCAAGCTTTGCACATTTCGGTGCAGAATGGCAACAGCCTGAGCCGCATTTCTGGAGTAAAACCATAGCATCGTGGGCTGTGATCCAAGTCTGTGGAAAAAAGCGGAGAGGGGACCCACAGCGAGGCCACCGTGAACTGACAGAGATGCTGATCAGTTGGAAGGCTGATGTCGGGGACTTGATGCAGCTCGAGGGCCTGTGTCGTTGGCCAGGAACGAATTGTTATGAACTGCCCACACACACACACATACTTGTACATACATAATCACACACACATACATATATATTACTTTTTTACTGTATATACATGTATAAATATATTCAGTTGTTTGGATAATATACTGTATAAGCACCATCACCACATATTCAAGTAGCTCCCGGATATCGGATCTGGAGGCAAACTAGCTCAGAAATTGGCCTAACATCACCTGCAGGTCATTGCACCACAATCGCTGTGTATCACCTGCCGATGGAGGCTTACAGGATCCGTCACTGTAGACCTCAGCGTGACCCAGCGATGCTTGAGAAGGAGTAGCTACGGGAGAAGAAGTGACCATACGTGCTTTTCACTAGAGTCAGTGACGAGGAACTGAGAGCATATGTCCACCGGCTTCTGGGCACAATGTACTCGTCATCAATGCCTCACTTCTGCTCGCCACGCCAAAATCTATGTGATGTGCAAGTTCCAAATTGCCAAAGTGCACAGTTCCATCAAAGTACAGCAATAGGGCATGGCAAGAAGGCATTGCAAAAATCCAGCAAAAAGCACCAGTAAAACCTTATTTGGAAGTCGCCCTGTTTGATTGGCCAAAAATAAGGTCACGTCGCAGAACTTCAAAGGACAGACCCCATTGCACATGAGTGTTGAGCCTTGACCTTGGACATGTTCAGATGTTGACCCTTACTGTCAAGTCTGGATGCCGCCCTTAGGTACGATTTTTATTTCATCTCCAAGCTGCTGCTAGAGAAGGGCGCTAAGCGGGAGGCGTGCATGAACCCACACGATTAAGTAGCAATGCCAACTGAGTCTTCGCTACTAGCGATACATCACATTTCACAGCTTTCACTACCAAATGGGGGCGTGGAGGTAGAAAATGCTGACGGCTGCAAAGCTATTTTGGGCATCAGCGGTGGCAAAGAAGGGGCAGAGGCCGCAGCGCCACAGCTTGATTCGGAAGCGGAGACAAGATGTGGGAACGCCATTGGAAAGATCATGAGTGCCTGGCAGGCCTGGGATGCGCCGACCAACATCCTGAAGAATGCCAGCAACAAAGAGGCCGTTCTGTATGTGAAGAAAACAGAATCCGTGCACAGAAACATTTTCCTCTGTTTACCTGGTTTACTCACCTCTCCAAGGAGTTGAATGAGGCCTTGGAAGCCTTGGAATCAGCTGGGGCCTTAGCTTCAAAGCGGTCCCAGGATACCCATGTATACCTGATACTTAAGCTTGGAGCGTGGATGCTTTTTTGGAACTTTTAGCGGACAAGGATCCTTCCAGCCTTGACAAAGCAAGCTTGGCGAGGGTGGGAATGCTGAAGGCCTGCGCCTGGCGCGCCAGGAGTTGCCATGAGATCGTCGCATCTCGAAGCTTTGTCACATCCAGGCCAAGGAAATGAAAGAAGCCTGGGACAAGCCCAGGTTCATGGAAATTCTGAACAAGGCCAGTGGTTGAGCCTGTCAGTGGTTGAGTTTGGTGGGCTGAGCAAGACTTTCTGAATCTGAGGTGAATTGAAGTGACGCAGAAGGTCACTGGAATAGACAGTGTTGCAATTGTGTCTCTTAGCTTACACAGCTGCAAACGCAGCTTGTGGACACAATGTCAGTCGATCCTGGAAAGGAGATCAACTGTGCTTCTGCGAATTTCTGGCCCACATCCCATTAAACATCTGAAACAACAAGCAGAACATGCCGTGCATGGATTGAGCCTTGCAGCCTTGTCCACAGCCATTCAGTCTCTCGGACTAGACAGCTATATCAAAGTCGCTAGAGTAAAACTGTTTGAGATCCGGGACATATCAGATCAGGCCGGCTTTTTTCAAAAAGCTTATAGAGAAAGTGCCAGGAAGCGTGCTTGGACCCGCCTTCAACGCCATGGCGCCAACAGAAGGCCTTCGCTTTTCTGTTGGCGATCGGGTCTCTTGTAACATGGGCTCTGACGGCTGGGCCAGTGGTAAAGTTGTGGCGCTAAACTACCGGGAGGAGCGCCACAACTGAGTTGAAGCTTCTGGCTTCTCAATTTAAGAAATTTCATTTGTCAGATTAGGTGCTGATGTTCTACCCCTTGAGAGGATCACTGGCCACCAACGAAGACTGCGCCTTATCAGGCCAGCTTTTCATTCAAGAAATTGTACCGGAAGAATTCAGGTCATTGGGGGAATGATTCGCTGTGGCAGGTGGAGCTAGATCCCGCCTATGGTAGTGCCCTTATCTTTGCACCGCTGGACCAGCCACGAGTCATTCGAGCAGAGATGCCAAGCACCTTCTCGCTTCCGGAGGAGCACGTTCGCCATGTGCTGTAGGCAGCCCTTAATTTCAGCAAACCTTATGCTTAGTTCAACATGCGCCGCTTCAAGGTGTTCAAAGTGTCCAAGCACCCAAGCATGTGAGGATGGCAGGGAGGCAGCTGAAGTGGTGGAGGAATTGAAGGCAGAGACTGCTAAACTTCAGAAGGAGCCATGCATTGTGAGCGTGCTTGGTCCAGAGCTGATGGCCATCGCAGAGGACAGCAAACCCAAGCATGCAAATGTAAGCATCGTTTGGGCTTGAAGAGCCAGTCCTTCATGTTCAGGACGGCACTGAGATGTTCGTGCCGAAGGATGCTGGGCCTTGGCTCATCACGCTCACCATGATGGGTCCAGCAGACACCGCCTACGGATCCAATCTTCGAATTCAGCTGAAAGTGAACTCTGCGTGGCCAAAATCTCCTGCAGAAGTTCGAGTGCACAGCTGGATTCACAGCCCCTTCCTGAAACAAAACGGGGTGCTGGATGAGGCTGCACTGGCTGAGGCCGTGTCAGCTGCGGAGAGCGACTCACCTCTTTGCAAGACCGTGCGAGCAGCTAGGGCCTTACTTTGTGAGCCCACCAAATTCTGTGAAGAAGATGGGACAGAGTCGGCTGAGGATGCATGTGAGTCCAACCAGGAGCGTTTCCAGGTCATTTCGCAGTACAGCGCCATGCGTCAGCACGATTGGCTTTTTGACCCGCAGAAGGCTTACACAGCCGATAGCATTCATCCAGATTATTGGAAGGCAGTTTCCGTGAACACTCCGGAAGCGTGGTCATCTATTGTGACAACAGAAGTTGAGGAGGTATTCTCGGTTCCTTTGTTCAAGCCTGAGCTTTGTGAGGCGTTTGTGGAGGAGCTTGACAAGTTTCATGCTACGGGCCTTCCTGCACGAAGGCCAAACAGCATGAACAACTATGGCATTGTTGTCAATGAAATTGGCATGGAGCCAGCTTTGGATCAGCTTTGCCATTCTTTGCTACAGCCACTTGCACATTACCTCTTCCCTGGTGTTGGGTCCCAATTTGACCGACACCACACCTTTGTGGTCCGCTACAAGGTCGGGGAAGACTTAGGGTTGGATATGCACACAGACGATAGCGATGTGACCTTCAACATTTGTTTGGGCAAAACCTTCAAAGGCGCAGGCCTGCAGTTTTGTGGAAACCAAGGGTCTGCAAATCATCGGAAAGCAAGCCTCCAATATCAGCATAAGCTTGGCCACTGTGTGGTCCATCGTGGCCACCGCCGCCATGGTGCAGATGACATTACTGAAGGTGAGCGCCTCAATCTGATTGTATGGGCTCGAAGCTCGGATCTTCTTGGCATACTTTTTCTTTTTTATTTTATCATTTTTTCTTTAATCTTGTTTACTTGTATTTTACTTGGATTTCGTTGAATGACTTAGACGAACTTTGATAGTAACTTAAACTTAACCTTGTGATTGGTTTTCTGTTTCAATCCCCAGGGCGGAGGTAGTGGCCGTCTAAATAAATTTTCCCCAAACACTTAGTGTAAGGGTTGCATTCTACCGCGTTTGTGGAGCCACCAGGGAATATTGAATATCGAAGATCACGCCATTGGTCCAGATTCAATGTGCAAAGCCGCTCAACTGGCTACAAGCGCGAAAGCGGGCCTCCTGACCCAGTATGCCTCTCCTTTACACACGATCGCGACTACGGTGTTTTCAAGGCAGGAACAAGCTGTGAGCAAGCAAGGGTGAGTGTTTGATCAAGCGTACATGCAGGTTTCCAGGTTTGCTGGATATGTTGCTTGAGGTCTGGACTCCTGATATCAGCCTTTGAATTGGACTAGGGATGCCAATTAACGCGACATTCGTGTGAGGAGTATGTGGGCAGCAAACAGCGGCATCGTGGGAAAGGCTGGTGTCCTCCAGTTCATGCCGAGTACGATGGCTTCATGGGGGAGGAACCTTTGGATGATTAGCTTGCAAAGTGCATGGATGCCGTGCTGGAACCAACTGTACATACTCTAGATGCAGGGCTTGAGTGCGAAGACACGGCTTGCGTGCCATTCATGTCATATCATTTGCGAAGTTTCATAGGGAGCGTTGCTCCCAGCCAAGTAAGCAGTCTTTGTCGCAAAGACCGTCTGAGAAAAGAACCATTGTATGCCCAGAGGTGCTGGAAAAGCCCCCACATGGATGCCAAATTGAGCCTGTGCTTCTGTATAAGGATCATGTCGTTGGGCTGGCAGCACTTCTGGGAAGGGTGAACGAAGCAGTCGTTTGGCCCTTGCCACCTTGTACAGGCAACACTTTGGACAAAAAGGAGCCTTTTCTTGGCGCCTGCTTGCATGATGCTGCCCTTGCCAACGATATGATTCGTGAGTCGTGATGCACCGCGAAGTATTGATGCACCAAATCAAGAACATCATAGAACATCCAGCAGCTTGAAGTCATTGCTACGAAGCCAGCACGATTTTTGACCCGCTATGTTATGTTCTTACTAGCTTTGTGTGACCAGCCCTGACAAGAGTGACAGGTTTGAATGTCCACTAGCCAAACCCACTCTCAGCACCAGCAAGTTGCAAAGAGCTTTGTATGCAGAATACGGACAGCAACGTCAAGAGCACGGGGCAAGCATCGAAAAGGTCAAAAAGGCCTACGCCTCTTCAGAGCCATGGGGACTCCTTCAGGTGAATTCATTTCACAACCTGCATTTTCCTGTGCACCATGATCCCATGATGGAAAGTTCCAAAGACTCACACTGTAGAACAACTGCTTGATGCTCGTGAATGCTGGAAGGCTCAAAGAATCAAAACCTTTTTATGGACCGCGTCACAGCCGCATTAGAAGCTTGCCACCCGTTTGTCTGATCTGATTCGATGAAGAGTTCAGCCACTAAGGCCTGCTTGGAAAAGATGTGCGGTCCTTTGATGGAGGACATGAAAGCCGTGTGAGAGATTGATGTGGAAAATCCACACGGTGGAGATACGAGCAACCGTGAAAAGCTGTAGTGATGGTAGGGAGTTGATGTGGATTCGATGTCTTTACAGCCAAGCCAAGCCGCTTTTGACTGACAATCATGCAAATACAAAGCACACAGTCCTTGTGGACAACAGGAAAAGAATCCTTTCGAGGCCAAATGCGCCCGAAAGTCAGGAGCCTACATGGGTCCGGGCGTGGCTGGAGCCGACCTGCACTTCCAAGCTAGAGAGCCCAGCACCACAGCGAGAGCAGAGCAAGAGCAGCGCTTCCATATCTCGCACTGCTTCCAAGCAACTGAAAGCTGAGCATAGGCACAGAAAGAGAAAGAACGTCTACTGGAGAAAGCCCAGAGATCTGAGGAGACATGACATAAGAAGGATTTTTCAACTGTGGCAGATCGTGAAGAAGCCTTGAGAAAATCATAGAGGATGTGGATGCTAGCAGTTGCCGGCATTTGTACGCCTGACATGACACGCGCAGGAGGTAAATGAGTTTCGGAAGGCTTCTTCTGAACACAAGTGGGGGGGCTCGCAAGTCTGGTTTCGGAGGGCTTCTATCTCACTAGATCTCATGAGACTTGGGTGCGGCTGTTGGTGGAACCTGGAGGATGACAGCTCCTTGGGAACTATGCTTGTGCATAATGCGAGGGTAACATAAAACTGCACTGGGCCATTATGTGGGAGTGACTCCACTAGCAGTAGACTTATTTTATAAGTAGACAACTCTCTTCATTCTTTGTGGTTCACTCTCTTCATTCTTTGTGGTTCACGGCAGAGAGTGGAGTCACATCCATGTCACTGACTCTCAGGATTGAGCGTTCGCTCAATAGAGTGGAGAAGGTTCCTTTGACGGCGACACTGGCACGCGACAATACGCGGTCATGTCGAGCAAGCGACAGCCTCACCACAGAGATCCCTTATGTCGACATGGTGAGACAAGCATCCCAAACGTTTGCTAGCGGTTTGGCAGCGGACCATACAAACAGTCTTTGTTGGTTTGTTCTCTCATATTTGAGCAGGAAGAGTCTAGTGCCAGAATGGAATAATGAAGATGTTTGAAATTGTTCTTCGGCCAGGTGCCAGTGGTTGGGCCTGAAGTTGGCCCACAGGTGCCTTCAGAACTCAAATCATACCGTCGTCAACATGGACAAGGGGCATGCATGTAGCCCACGGGCGAGGCCAAGAAAAGGATCCCAAACTTTGTCAAGCTCAAGAGCAAGGACTCCTTTGAGGATGTGAAGGAGGCAAAGCAAAGCCAGGACTGGATGCAGAGAGAGGGTGCCTACTGTGATGATTGCTTTCGAGGGCTCATGGCAGCCTACCCTGGTCTGAAAGGAGCCGGATAGCAAACGGCAGCGAACGGATGGTGCCCCTGTCTGGCGCATCAGTGTGTAGAGAGCGAAACAATCAAACAGCGAAGTTTCCTTTCAAACGTGTAGCCTATTCTAAGGAGATTGCTCTGGCCCTCTTTTTTCCATTGCATACTTTATCTCCTTGCAGCTTGTTCGTCCCTTCTCATTTTCCTTATAATTTGCTCCTCTCATTCACTCGTTTGATTTTTTCATATTTCCTCCGAACAGTTTACTGTTGGGGTTCTCAATGCTTTTAAGTGTGTCCGCCTCGTCTGGGCGAAGGCGTGGTCCGCCTTCTCACAACATCTCGAAACTCCTTAGTAACGATTTTATACATTTGTCTCCCAGTCTTGGCAAGTGCTCGGTAGCAACTCTTTATGTTTTTTTTCCAATCTGGGCCAGTCCAGGCAACTCTTGGGTTTTTGCCTTATGGCAACTCCTTGAGTAGCTGTTCTTCTCTCAGTCTGTGCCAGAGTGTCCACCTGGCAACTGAGTAGCAATTCTTTACATTTGTCTACTGCGTCTGCCTTCTGGCAACTGCCCAAGAGCAAATCTATACTGTACATTGATCTTCCAGTCTGGGTTAGTGTGTCTGCCTTCTGGCAACTCCTTAGAAGCATTTCTTTGGATTTGCCGCTTTGCCTACCTTCCGGCAGCAATTCTGTACATTTGTCTTCCAGTGTTCGCTAGGGTGTCTGCTGTATTCTTTATACATTCTTCTCTCAGTTGGCAAATTGTTTGCACCAGATCTTTGCCTCTGTCCGCCTGCCCGTGTCTGGATGCTGGGCGGAGATTTGGCGCCAGGAACGGATCGGCCAAAAAAGAAAGCTCCGACTGCCGCTGCTGTTTGGGGTCGATGCTGGTGTAATATACATTTGTTTCCCAGTCTGGGGTAATGTGTCCGCCTTTTGGCAGCTCCTTGGTAGCAAACTTTTGCATTTGCCTCCTAGTTTGGGCCAGTGTGTCCGCCATGTTGTGGCAAATCCCCAATAGCAATTCACAATATTGGACTCCCAGTCTGGGCTACTGCGTCCGCCTTCTACCAAAAGCATTAGCTTTGAGGTGCCTCTTTTCCGAGATGCGGATTTACCGCGGTCAACTGTTTGGGGACTACGGTGGTGAGAATTTCCTTTTGTCTCCGCCCTTTGCCTCATCTCATTGCCATTGGTGCCACTGTCGCCTTCTCAGTGGGTCTCCAAAAAAAGTGCCGACTGCTTTGCTCGTTCCTTGGTCTCCGGCATGTGTGGCCCAAGCCGGAATGGCTTTTGAGCCTTCCCGGATTGCAGAAGTATGTGGCCAAGTCGGCATGCCAGATAGGGAGGCATCGACGAGGAAACAGGATATCGAACGAACATAGAAAAGCTGTCTGCAGAGACGTGACACATGGTAAGCCGCAGAAGCCAATCTTCCATTCTATTGCATAGTGTTTGTGCAGGCCAGCATCTATGTTGCGCATGGAGATCTAGAGCTCTTGCGCTTGTGCTGTTCTGCTCCAGTTCTAACAGAGCTTCAATCACAAGTGGCAGCCGCGCTGACAGAGCACGGTGAGCCCTCAAGTGCTTTGCCTTCATAACATTCTTGGTGGGGGGGAGGCTTCAGCCCTTGTCAAAAGCAGCGTTCTTGGCCGCCCAAGGTGCCTTAAATATCAGATTGCTTTGGCGCCATAAGAGCGGTGAGACACATGTTTGCGATGATGCCTCTCTTGCAAAGGCAGGGGTTCAAGTCCACAGATATTTCTACCACTTCTCCTCGATTTGCTCGATTTGCGTTGCCCCGTCAGGCCTGGCAGCGGTCTGGATGTGATCAGGGGGGGTTGCTTGAAGCTCCAAGTTTGCCGAAATCTCAACCAAATCTCGACCGCATCGCTGGATAGTCGCACATGTATGACGTGTCGGCGAGAATTTTCGTCGAGAAACCAGCTCATGCGTCACCTTCAAAGCCTTGGTCACTATGGGGAGCAAGGTGAAGAGAACCTGTCTGGAATAAAGGCAGCGGAGGAAGGTGATGGTGCGGGAAAGGAGAAACATGAACAATCTGACTTTGCTAACCGAGTCAGGCGCAAAGCATGGGAACTGTACTACCAAGACCTCCCAAAGTTCGAACAGATCAAGGAACTCATGCAGACCTTTGTGCCGTACTGCTTCCGAACCGTGCCCACATCACCACTCGCCTCACTGGCACTTGCCAAATTGCAAGCTGAAACGGTGGTGAAAAGACCTGTAGGACTTGACGAGAGCTATTGTGACTGCTGGGCACTGGCTGAGAACGCTTCAGAGGAAGGTGTTTGGACCCACCTCCAGGCTGCACAAGAGTCAGGGGCAATCCAACGGCAAGAGGCTGCAAGCATGGTGCCTGTGATGCTATTGAAGGCCCGCCGTTGTACATACACCTATAAACAGTTTGTGCAGATTCCATTACGTGCTTTGACCTCTTCGCAGGTTCAGCCTCACCACTTTGTTGCGGACTTGTGTGCTGCACCAGCCTCCAAGACCTTACAGCTCCTGGATGTTATGAACCCAGGAGTGAGAACAGGCAAATCGCTGCTGGAGAAGCTGCTGTTGAGTCATTGAGCGTTGCTGATTTTGCTGTTGAGCCTGCACAATTGCAGGTGAAGTGCCCCAAGGCTTGCTGGTCGTGAACGACGATAACTGGGGAAGATGTGCGACAGCCTTGCGACGCACCCACCAGCATGCAAACTCTTCGCATTTGATGTGGCTTTGCGGCGATGCGCGAGAGGTTGCTTAGATGCAGAGGGTCTCCTTGAACTTGTCACATGGCAAGAATGCTTCCTCTTCGCCGCCATTGGGTATGAGGCCATCGCTATTAGGTTGGAAGCCATTGCTATTAGGTTCCTCAAAAGTCTTTTTTCTGTAAGGGTATGTTACCTTTGTTGGTTGGAGCTTCACTAAGTTCCCGACTCTACATGATCATTCGGATGGCCGCGTCCGCGGAGCCCGAAAGATCCGCTTTGATCGAGTCCTTTGTGATGTCCCTTGCTCAGGCGCCGACGGGGGCTCTCAGGATTTGGGATTTGCCAAGCGCTGAAAGCTGAGGTGATGGACGCTTACGCCGCAGTCCGAGTGGTTGGACATCTTGGCATCCGCGCTATATGCTACAGATGCACTATGTGTCTTGCAAGAGTTCTGATGCACACAAACCGGTTTCTGACTGTTACTGTTGATTCTCGACTTCAGAACTGTGAACCTTCTTTTTTCACTCTGGGAGGCAACAGGGTTCAGATTTGGTTCTGATATGCATTAATCGAGCGCGGCATGAGATTTCTTTCATGAGTCCACGCTGAGGTGCAGAGTGCGATTTTGAAGCGTGGTCTGACCATCTTAAAGCCTCAGGGGTGTTTGGTGTATTCTACGTGCAGCATGTCTCCGATTGAGAATGAGGCAGTTGTGGCTGCCGCTTTGGAAAAGCGACTTGAAAGCAAGTGAATGAGTAGGCTGCGCCGTGCACATTGCACTCTTTCGTGCTCCCCTCCCTGTCTTCTTGGACACAAAGTCGATGGTAGAATTGAACTCGCTCGAATTTTTGCTTGTTTTGTGTGTTATCCAAGGTTTGGGTGCCAGGTGCGCTTAGTTGCAGTGGAGCAGTGGAGCCATGCGCAGGGGCTCTCAACATGGAAAGTGCCGGCACCTGACTTCCAGAACTTCCGGTCCTTCTCGAAGGAAGAGGTTGACGAAGAACACGAGGAACTCTGGTGTCGAAACGGGGGCCCTCTCGCCCCAACGATGTTTCCGCCCAAAGATCCAGAGGTGGGCACAGTTGGGCAACTCCGTGTCATGCACTGAAGTATGGTCATTGTGCACGGCGTTGAAGTGCGTTTCGTCTTTCAGACCAGTTCTCTCCAGCAGATTGGTGCCCAAACAGCGATGTTGTAGGACAACAGATTGCGACACCTAGAAAGACTGAAAGTGATCATGCAACAGAATTGTTCACCATTGAGTGTGAAACTCTTGGCAGATCCGGGCTGCACTCTGCCATTGTATTCGCATCAGCCCTACGCATGGCGATTTTGGGGGCTTTTTCTGCGCACTGTTCGAAAAGTTGACTCCAGGGCCTGCAACGCTGCCTCCAGCGTCACCTGAATGCAAGAGAAAATGTCAAGTGAGCAGATTCCAGACTCGACATGTCCCGAGAAGGGATTGCTCAAGTGTGGCTTGATGGTCTTGGGCTGAGTGAGGCTGGGCGCGTCAAGAGCTGGAGAAGCACCGCGAAAAGCACAAGATGCGCCTTGAGACGAAACAAAGAAAGCAAGGGCTCCAAATCCAATACCGCCCCTTTTGGCGGCCACTAATGTCGCCCAGCTTGACTGGCTGGTGAATTGGTTCGGTCTTCTTGGTGGTGCGGATGAGGCCTGGCAGAATCAGGGCCTCAAACATTCTGCACTTCTGTGATTGCAGGCTTCCAAGGCTGGAGTTCGGCGTTTTCCCGTCGAGCTGGTTCGCAACGATCCAAATCTTAAGGAGCCTCGCTATTCACCCAACACATACAAATCATCAATGCTTATTGTATGCAAGCATGCAAGCGAAAGCACACAGGGGATTCCTGGCCCTTGTTTTCGAAGGACGGCCTCATCATTGCAAGCCCAAGTTTGTGCCAGAAACTTACTTCTGATACCTTCTCCAGAGCTCTGATTCAATGCAGCCGTTCCAATGCTGCTGAAAGGTCGATTGGTGCTGAAACATGCCCGACCTCGAGTCCTCGCTGGTGGTATGCCCTTGCTTGCAGATGTGGCCGATGCTGACTTCGATGATATGATGCTTGGAGCAGTTGGTCAGAAGTTGACGCAGGGGCTTTTGAAGGCATTGCTTTAAGCGGTTGAGGTGCAGCCGTTTTGATATTGCCAATGTAGCAGCTCCAGCCTCTCGGCATTGCTTGGAAGTTTCTGATGCTTGCAAAAATGGACATGGGTGCAAATGAAGTTATTAGGTGAATAATGTACATAGTTCCGTGCTTTGCATTGCCCCGGTTTTTTGGAGCACTCGAAGTACATTCTCCAAGGTGCTAGGTGCTTGCGCCCCTTGACGGCATTTTGTTTATACCTGGCTGTGAGCTTGAGCTTGGTCAAGGCAACGAGGCGACGCGTCAATTTGGCTTGGACATTCTTCCTCCAATTGCTGCGGGGTGAGTCAGTTGCCATGAATGGTGATCCTGGCCCTGTGATTGTCATGTCGGATTTGGCATCTCAGATGCCTAGCCTGACCAACCTCAAAACACCAGTCAGTTCTGCAGGATTTGAACTGACTTTACCCTGCAGAAACTTTAAGGACGATTCGCAGCATAAAAAGCAATTGAGCAGCTTGGCTGATTGTTTGGACGCTTTGCCGTTTCCGGGTGAGGACGTTTGATGAGTTTGGTATAGTATTCTTGATGAAGCTGCATGACGAGGCATTTCTGCACGTGTGACAACCGGCCACACAGTGATCGCAACAATTGGAAGTGCGCAGCGCCATAGCATGCTGCGGGTTCTCTCAGGCACAACGTAGAGGTGGCCACGACCCTGAAGAGCCCAAAGCTTCATGAAGACAGATCGAAGCAGCTTTCATTGTGTCCAACTGTCAGACCTAGGATCTAGAGCAGCACTTGGACCCTTCGGCCGACAGTACTCTCGCGCTGCATCATCAGCAATGGCTGGACGAATCATCCTGGTGTTGGCTATCTTGACGACCAAGGCGACCTGTCTGGGTATACAGGCTTATCATGGCTTATCATCTGAATCTTATCATTTGCTTGACCGAATCCAATTGGACAAGGTTTGAGTTGGGGCCTTTGGTGGCCTTTGACTGTTTAAATTTGCACATGTTGGCACTGCCGTTGGCACTGCCGCTGGCACTGGCAGTTTCAAAAAGCTGCTTGAGTGATCACTTGGACTGTTGCCTCGGTGCGCTATGTCGTGGCCGCTACGTATTTGGTTCAGCTACCAGGTACCATGCCTCAGGCACCACTGACAGCGCCGAGCCCTCAGATTGCTCCCACTGTCCCCTTTGTTCACCAAGCAGCTCCTACATCAATCATTTTTGCAGCGGGTTTGGCTACGGACACGGAGGGATTAACACAAGGCATCTTGATAATTAGTCATAGTCTACTTTGTTGCCTTTAGGGCTGCCTCGTCACCGACCTCTTCCCCAGCTGGCGGATCTTTGCTTGGTGGCTACGAGTCGTCTGATGAGGGGGAGGCGCACTGTGCAATTTGGCGAGTGTTCGCAGCCCGCAGCCCGCAGCCGACTCCCGCGGCACTTGATTCGGCCCTGGAGGAGGAGGATGAGTAAGCAAGACCGCAGCCAAGGCCTGTGCGAGGTGGGTGGGTGCACAGGATATGCCAGACACTGCAGCCTGGCAGGCATAGAAGAGAATACCACCCACACGCTCGTTTGCAAAGCGCAAAGACTCAAGAGCAGCAACTCAGAGAGGAGCTGCAGAATTTACTCCTGGAGCGCGAGAAATGAAGGTATGGGACGACCTGACAAGCTGATGGAATTTACGTTAAGTTAAGTACTGTATGTTTAACCACATGTGTGAACCGAATCAGAGAATGTTTGAGTGGAACCTCATCGATGCGGATCAAGCAAGGAAGCCGTAGAATAGACCTCAAAAGGCAGGAGCACAGCGAAGCGTCCCCAACAGCCAATCATCACACCTCACCTCGATCTCAATGAAATGTTCTATTGGTATATATATATATATGTGTGTGTGCGCCTACTATTGGTCATTATTGGCCACCTTGCCAGCAGAGCCCGCTGCCTCCTTGATGCAAGCACATTTGCATCCAGCAAAGCCCTCAGACTCAGGTCACGTGACCAGTTCTTCCGTTGTCCAGTGATGCAACCAGGTGACGTGTTTTGGGGTGCCCTTGGGGCCATTGCAGCGAACGCCTCGGACTGGAAGGCGTGGTTGGATGGCAAAGTGCATGAGCAACTGTAGGGTGTACCCCACATACAGCAAGTCAATGCAAGGCACAAGTTTTCAATGGTCCAGCCTTTTCCACATTTTCTTTGGGCAAACCCTTCTGTACTCAATTTCAGTTATTTCTTACTCAGCTGATTTGAAGGCCTCAGGCTCAGCGGTATCCAGTCCTTGCGCTTTTACAAAGATCTGCTTGCGGAGTCCTGGCACTTTCAGCAGGACGTGGATAATATATATATATATATACACATACAATCAAACAAACAGATACACATGTATATATATATATGTTAGTTAAGAACACATATCGACATGCATGCATGCGTGCGTGCGTGCGTGCGTGCGTACATCCATCCATCCATCCATCCATCCATCCATCCATACATACATACATACATACATACATGGCTCAAGCCGTCTAAGCTCAAGCTGGCTGCCAATAAAGTCCAGCAAGTGCGGCAATCCCAAGCGCAACAGGTGCAGGAAGTACCACCTCAAGCACGGCCCAAGGACAACCCGCCGTACCAAGCTTTCTTTGCTCGCCATATAGGTGATCACCTTCCTCACTTTTGCGGACCCCTACGGCACCTGGCAGAGCTCGCCCTGGATAACCTCACCGGCATCCAGACAAGGCTCATCTATCCACCTTGCGCCTTGAAGACATCTTGACCTACCTGATCACTTTGCCCGTGACCCCTACTTCATAACGAACCTTCCAGGCCAGAACGTGATCGGTGCCACAGTCATGCAGTGGGGACGAAACTACATGACCTGCCGGCACCCAGATTGCCGAAATTGGATCTGGGAAGACAAGCTACGCCCAGGTACTCGATGCCGGAAGTGTGGCAACTGGTGGCAAACAAATGCCAGCACAGGCAAGGGGAAAGGACAAGGTCACGGACAGACCAAAGCCTATGGGCATGGCAAGACTTAACAAAGGAGCAAGCCACGACAGCAGAGCTCTTGGCCAGCACATGGGACGTTATCCCAGAAGGCATCCAGACCAAGCTCACAGCATTGGGCTATGGACCACCACCCCAGGAAGAACCCGAGCTGACGGAGTTCCTCAAGTCCCACATGACCGCGCTCTCGCAGGAGGTTCAGGCAGTGGTCACAAAACTGACCCAACCTCTGCCAGACACTGAAAAAGAGCTGGCACAAAAGCTGAAAGCGCAGGTGGGGGACTTGAAAACGGTGTCCATCAAGAAAAACCAGCTGCAGACACGTCTAGACCACATCAAGTCACAGTATGCAGCCATGCTTCAAGACATGCAAGACTTGCAAACGAAGTTGACTGATGGACAACAACGACTCAAGCAGCTGTCGGACCAGTACATGAAAGTCACCCAAACCCCAATGCCTACAGGGCTGGAACCAGAGGACACCAAGGAATTGCCAATACCCATGGCAGTTGAAACCTTTGTTACAAGTCTTGGGATCGATCTGACTGATGACCAGAGGACGCAACTTCATGGGCTCCTCAAACGGCCTAAGGCAGACGAAGAAGACATCAACAAGCGCAGGAAGACCGAAACCATCCCCACACCACCGGCCACACAGTGTGGGTAACACGCCAGGACCAGGACACCAACTCCCAGCGTTTCAGGTGCCAATTCCCTGGGAGGACTTTGAGGCACACACCAACTCACCGGTTTGCCGTGCTGCATCCGGCTCTCAATACCGCAGGGGACACCACCTTTTGACAGGAAGGCACACTCTCTTTTTCAAGCAGGGGAACAGCAAACTTATGGTGAAGGGGAAACCACCAGAGTTACACAAGCACAGGCATCCCAATCTCACAGGATGCACGATTTTGACCTCCTTTCAGCACCTGCATCACCAGCGGATGGACTCTCCAGCGGGGGCACCTGGAGATCAAGTCATAGCCATCAAAGGTGGTGCCAGCAACTTTCAGGACGACCACACTGGGAACCAGAGACAGCCCAGAATGCAAAACACCTATGCATCCACAACCGAGTGCATCCTCCAGAATCTCTCCATGACGGTGGGCGACCCAAGCTCCGGGTGCTTCGCAAATGCACCTTGGCGAGCCTTCACATGGACCTGTGGGCTTTTACAAGAAACCCACACAGAACCGTGGGGCACTTTGCATGCTGCAGTCCAGGAATCTCTTGAACTGGCAGAAGCTGTCGACATCCAAGTTTTGCCAGGACTACAACGACTCTGGAAGAAGCATGATCTCAACATCCAGGGAGATGCAAACCATTTCGTGAACGCACCCTGGAACCTCTCTCAGAGCAGAGCTTTCCACTACAGGTATGCAGAGATCAAGGCCGGAGGCTACCTGGCTGACCATGTTCAGGTACCGCTTCTCGTCGACTTCCCTCAAGACTGGCCTGAGAAAATTATGTTGCAAACATTGATGAATGGATGGGCCAATGAAGGACTTGGCCAATACCTCCTAGACGACAAAGCCATCTTGGTCACACACATCACCCGCAACACCACACTTGATGGAGTGGCCACGAAACACAAGAAGATCCTGAACCCGTATGGGACCTTCACCGTCCCAAGGTCGATGGACGGTTTTGCTAGAGCGTCCACTGAGTTCGTGCCAGCAGCTCTGATATGTCATAGAGGACCCAATCACGAAGCAGGTCACTACTTTGCAATCCTCATCTACCGGGATCTCATGTGGCTCGCTGACGACGGCAAGGCACCGGTGCACCTGCCTCACCTGACGCCCCAACTAGCCAGTCAGGCGGTCCAGATCTGGGCTGTACACATAGCAACTTTCAGCACCACCCAACAGGTCATCCAACGACTCCCGTTGCCAGAAGAACCGGACTTTGATCCACCGCTCCACCCAAGTCCAGAGAAGAGACCGAGGCTCCAGCAAACCCACTGCAAAATCCACTATGCCAACATCACCAACTTGGGCAGACAGGTCATCGACTGGTACTGGACGAGAGACAGTGAACCCTACATCCTCGTCGAGACTCATCTTGACCCGCAACAACATGTGAACAAACTTGCCAGTACTACACCGTACGGGGCCGCACAGCTTTTGGAGTCCCAGCGTGGCCCAACAGTGACAATTCAGGCACCCATGGAGGCATACTGGTCCTTGGAGATCAATCCAGTGGCCTGACACCATTGGAAGCCTTTGCCCTCCACGGCTGTGGCTACCAGGCCTTCTTGTGGCAAGCCACCGAGCAGACCCCATCCTCATAGCCGGCGTCTACCTTCGAACCAATGAAGGCATCCAGAGCGAGATCAACGCCACCATCATCTCCAAGCTGCTAGCGCTCTTGCAGGCAACTAGCCACCCCTTCATTCTGATAGGGGACTGGCAAAACAAACCAAGTGCTATCTCCAGCACAGTCCTGCCCTCCAAATTTCATTTCGACATCTTGGCGCCTGATGTCAGCATGCTCTCAGGCAATGTCATCGACTTCAGCCTGATCCACACATCCCTCTCAGGTACAACAGCTCTGACCACCGAGTGGGCCGTGCCGTGGCGCCCTCATGCCCTACTCACACTGCACTTGGACTTGGAAGCAGCCACCAAAGAATTCCGACAAGTCCAATACTTTCCGCCCTTGCCAGCAGTGCCAGACATCGACTTCAGACCATGGACCACCTTTAGGTCACAGGCTTTCGAACTATGCCTCTATGATGTCCCAGTCAACGACAAAGCACAAGCATGGGCAGACTGGATATCATCCACCGAGCAATACCTTTTGCAGGAACACCCGTGGGCAGCTCAAGGAAGAGGTGGGAACCTGAGAGTGATGATCAAGCCCCTGGTAGCACCCAAAAAGGCCCCAGAGGCAGACCAGCGCCACTTTGAGGAGACCTCAAATGCACTAAGTGTGGCACAAGTGTCCACAAAAGGGTCAACGAACAAGCGTTCAACGACTACGTCCAAGGAACTTGCCTGGATTGTCCGTTCGAAGGCACGCACACCGGCCATCCCAGCCACCAGCTCTGGCAAAAAGGCCACAAAATCAGCTGCGCCCTATGTGGCCTACAGCTACATCTGGACAGCAATCGACGAATCATCAGCTCAGCCACCTTCCTTAAGGAATGTC